GATGTAGTACATGTTATCGGATGACTTGTTTTCTGGTTAGGACCCTATAATAAGAGATTGAGGTAGCCAAGAAAAGGTACGACGTTGAAGGGTCTCGGTGTATGCTGAGGCCACAAAGGGGTTCCTAGTCTCAGAGTATTTACAAAGTGGGTACGAGGACCCCACCCCTAAGGATCTTGCAGAACCCCTGGTTTAGGGTTTAGGGTTTAGGGTTTAGGGTTTAGGGTTTAGGGTTTAGGGGGCAGAACCCGCATAGGAACCCCCAAACAAACCCTTGAAGGGCACTAGATGGAGCCAGAGACGCTCATCCGGGAACGCCTTTCGCCTTGCTTAGAAAGACCGGGGGGACCAACAATGATAAAGAGAATTCCGTTTAGGGTTTAGGCTTTAGGACCCTCTGATATTCCCGATATTCTTCCACCGTCATATATACCCCCCAAACCCTGTTCCAAATTCTCAGAACTAGTATAATACTAATAACAACAATCTCCCTTGTTCAGCCTTTAGGTGCCTTACGCATTAGAATTTAGGGTTCCATTTTATGTGTTTGTTTTGCAAGGCTACTTTCAGGGTTCAGGCATAGGGCCCTTCTGATTAGCCGAGGGTTTGGGGTTCACGATACCATAATGACAACAAAGAGCCCTAAGGAATATATGTGGTAAGTATTCAGGCTTCTGCATTATCTGGAGAATCGCCTTTGGAGCAAGGGAAACCCGAAAAACCCTAAACCCAAAGATCTTATCCCCAAATCCCTGAACCCAAAGATCTTATCCCCAAGTCCATAAACCCAAAGATCTTATCCCCAAATCCCTGAACCCCGATGATTCATATTGCAGTTCAAGCTATCTTCCGTCCCTTGAACCCCATCACAGCAGGCTTTGGGCAGCCAAGGCCATGGCAAAAGCGGCTTAGGTCAGGAAATGATGCCCGCATGTTCGGTGTACTTGACCAACCTTTGCAAACGGAAGGACCCTAAACCCTCAACCCTGTAGTACTTTTTTTTGGTTACGTTAGTTTCTTATTATAATTAGGATCCTAGCCATAAAGTAGGGTCTCCAATCAAAGGTGCTGCGTGTAAGGGTCTAGGTAAGGCGTCTAAGCTTTGTTCCAGAAACGTTTTCTGTCCTACGGGCCTGTATTGGTCAGACTTCCAGCCATGTCGGACCCAGCTGTCGATTCCATCGAGCTGGCTTTGCGCGGAGCTGAATCGGCCACTTGTTCGATTTATCGAAGCTCAGACCAAATGGCTCTCACAGCGGTGGCTAGAGACTAGCAACCCTAAGCCCTAAACCCTCAACCAAGCAGGACTTTTGAGCTCTTTTGAGCCATGCTTGCGGAGCGTTCTCAAATTTCTACGAATCTTGTGGGCTCTCTAGCATTCTTGGGGCGCAGGAAAATTGAAATTGGAGTTGTTCGACTCAGGGTTCCGGGCCTTGTGTTGGGAATTCCGATCAAGCCAAGCCGGTCAGCAACTTGAGAAACGGAATCCACATTGCCCCCCCGAAACCCCAGACCCCCCTAAACCCTAAACCCTAAACCTTCAAGCCCAAACCCTAGAAGGATTTAGGATTTAAGGGTAGCTCTTCATGGGCGAGACCCCAATCGCTGAGAAATACAACCGCCGGGCTTCAACCCCCAAACCACTTAAAGCCCTAAAGACCAAGAGTCCCTGAGGCTCAAAATAGCCCAAAAGCCTTTATATGATACGGTCCTTGGGTCTTTAAAATATGAGTCCTTAGAGCCTTAGGGAGTTTACCTGGAGTCTCCAAGGTAATTACCAGAAAGAAGCGGAAATGTCTAGCTACTGTTTCTGGCAACGTACTTCTTCAGGCTACAGTGGTTGCATTTGATTACTCTGTAGGTCCTCCCTAAACCCTAAACCC